AATCTGATTTTCTGGCCGCCAGACACCCAAGCTCGGCAAGACGCGCGAGCATTCAACCAGCGCTGGAGCGGGCGCATGCGCAGTAGGCCCAGCTGAAGGACCGCTGCAGCTGACGCCATACAGCCCAACATCCTTTGAAATGTTTTCAGAGGAAGAAAGCTGCCCTTCTGGAAAGATGCGGCTAGGTGTCGAACACGGCGCGCGCGCTGCGTCGATAAACATGCCGTCATAGTCACCGAGTCCAGTTCTATTCCTAAAAAGGAAATTGACTGGCTGGGCGTTAATGAGCTCTTGGTCCAGTTGACCGTGAGACCCAAGCTTTCCAGGTGACTGAGAAGCACTGTTCTGTGAGAAATCAGTTCTGTCTCTGACTGTGCCAATATCAGCCAATCGTCCAGGTAGTTCATTATTCGCAGCCCCTGACTTCTCAGGGGGGCGAGCGCCGCGTCCATGCACTTCGTAAATGTACGGGGTGCTAGAGACAGGCCGAACGGCAGGACGGTGTATTGATATACCTGACCGTCGAAGGCGAATCTCAAAAATCGCCTGTGACGGGGTATTATCTGAATCTGAAAATAGGCATCCTTCAGATCTAGAGAAATAAACCAGTCCCTCGGGCGAACGTGCGCGAGGATTTTTCTGGTCGTAAGCATTTTGAACGGTCTTTTCGCAAGCACCTTGTTCAAATGTCTCAGATCGAGGATGGGCCTGAAGGCTCCGTCCTTCTTGGGTACGAGAAAATATCGGCTGTAAAAGCCTGACTCGCTCAGAGAAGGCGGTACCCTTTCTATTGCCCCTTTGCACAGCAGCTTTGCTATTTCTGCGTGAAGTAGGTGTGCTACTTCCGCATTCACTATCGTTGCGGTCCGGGCTCGGAAGCGCGGGGGACGGCGAATGAATTGAAGTGTATAGCCATGCTTTATTGTGCTCAGCACCCATTCTGAAACCCTTGGGATAGCTTCCCATGCAGCTACGTGAGCCGCTAGGGGGCGAATGGCCTCCAGGTTCAGATCGCCGCCATTCGCGGGCTTGTGAAAACTGAACCGGAGCCGAAAGCGTGGCGCGCGCGCTCTCGGTTCTGGGCAATGGCTGCTCGCTGAAAACCGAAACCGGCTGATTTATGTGGGATGTCCCAATCATAAGGGATGGGGAACATTCTCTTTCCACTTTTTGTCGCGCGAGCAGCGCTCTGGGCGGAGAAGCTTTCTGTAAGCGTGAACGCGTGTGCGCGGGCACGAGACTTACAAGTGTATTTGACGCCCCGATCGAATAGGATGGGGAGCGTCTTATTAACGCCCTGCGCCTTGTGATAACACTTAGACGCGCGGGCGGCGCCCGGGGAGAAGTGTGTGTTAGTAAGCGTGAACGCTCTCTGGCGGGCACGAGACTTACATTCATAACCTGCTTCATTGACCGTGTTACAGAGCGGGCAGACAGTGGGCACAAACCTGTGGACACATTTCTTACACTCAACACTCGAGCGGCTTTTCTGCGCTTTATGAGAGTGTGCTCTGTGAGTGACACGGAACGTGTTGTGCTTGTGTGTAGGGGTGAACACTGGGGCGTGGGCACTTTCACTACACTTAAGACACCAACGGCGTGAGCCGGATAACCAGACACTATACTCTTTTGAGATTTCTCTGGGTCGCCGTGAAGACGGCGTATGTGTGCAGGCGAGAGGGTAAATGAACCGGCTCGTTGGCTGCTAAATGGACCACTGCAGTAGCCTGTTTGAAGGGGACTGACAGGGAAATAAACTTTGACGGCGGTCCGGCCGCAGCGGGACACGCGCGTCTTTCTCTCTCATAGTTTGATATGAGTCTTTAGTGATAGAGCGGGCAGAAAAATAGGCGTGGGCACGAACTCGTGGACACATATCCTACGTTCAACACTCGAGCGGTTTCCCGCTTTAAGGGAGTGGGCTCTGTTCTGTGAATAACACGGGAAGTGTTGTGCTTGTGTGTAGGGGTGAACACCGAGATGTGGGCACCTTTCTACACTAAAAAACACCATCGGCGTGAGCCGGATCCGAAAACGGCGGCTTGCTGAGGAGAGCCGCATAAATTTTATCTGCTGCGGGAGCCAGGATCGAACACGGGTCTCTGGCGCTAAAGCTTAATGTTTAGCCACTGAGCCACATGGGGAAACAACGTAAGCTTTAGTTGGCGCGAGCAGATAAGAGAGAGAGCGTCATCACAGTTTTCGTGTGCGTGTCGGCATTGTCTGCAGGCGTGCGTGTTATAACAGGCTCTCTACTGCAGTATAGACATTACCAGCCGCTCGAACTAGGAGGAGCTGGAAAATGTTTGAGAAAAAGAGGGGGTTTGTCAAGCCTCGGCGGGACAAAAAACCACTCTTTCCTTCTTTCGCCGGTGACGCATGCGCTCGGGGCGCGCGCTCGGTTTCTGTACGTAAGAAAGCTGGTCGCGCGAGCTGCATAAATTTTATCTGCTGCGAGAGCCGGGATCGAACACGGGTCTCTGGCGCGAAAAGCTTAGAGTTTAGCCACTGAGCCACGGGGGAAACAACGTAAGCTTTAGTTGGCGCGAGCAGATAAGAGAGAGAGCGTCATCACAGTTTTCGTGTGCGTGTCGCTCGGGGCGCGCGCTCGCTTTCCGTATGTAAGAAAGCTGGTCGCGAGCTCAGAGAGGAGAGCTGCATAAATTGTATCTGCTGCGAGAGCCGGGATCGAACACGGGTCTCTGGCGCGAAAGCTTAGAGTTTAGCCACTGAGCCACGGGGGAAACAACGTAAGCTTAAGTAGCGCGAGCAGATAACAAAGAGCGCGCGCGGCAGCTTCCTTGTAACGTAAAGGAAGCTAGCCGCGGTTAGAACAGCAGTCCATTGTGGCGTGTCCCTCGACCTCATCCTCGGACGCGACGGCAGTGAGGCTCGTGAGCGGCAGCTGCGCGTCGGTGAAGGGAGGCGGGGAAGGTGAAAAAGCGAGGCTCGAGGGAGGCTTTCCGGCGAGCGCGACGCTGTGGCTACAGGCTCCGGCTGCCTTTGGGAACGGCGCTTATCACTGCGCGGTCCCACAAAGTGCGGAGTGACTGCTTCTGCGGGGGCGCGGTAGCTTCCTTGTAACGTAAAGGAAGCTAGCCGCGGTTAGAACAGCAGTCCCTTGTGGCGTGTCCCTCAACCTCATCCTCAGACGCGACGGCAGTGAGGCTCGTGAGCGGCAGCTGCGCGTCGGTGAAGAGAGGCGGGGAAGGCGAGAGCGAGGCTCGAGGGAGGTTCTCCGGCGAGCGCGTCGCTGTGGCCACAGGTTCCGGCTGTCCACAGGAAGTGCGAGGCATCTTGAAAAAGACGCTCGCTGCTCTTTTAGGAGTAAGAGAAAAGAGAATACAACAACAATGTAAAAAGGATACGTCGCCGGATAGCGTAGCTCGCACGGATGGCTGAAGGTGGCGAAGACGGCCGGCTTCCTCAGCGCTGTCCTGGCTGGCTGTTCGCTGTCTCGACGGCGACGGTGGCTTCCCTCAATCCAGCGATGCGAAGAGCTCGCTGAAGAGTCGAAAAATCAGGGAATTCAGCCTACGAGCCCCTTCTTTTATACGCTAAGCCACGCCCATTCTGGCGGGCTGTGACGCTATGAAGGCGCGAGCGCCCTTCATTGGGCGTGACGTCACGCCGGGCTCACTGGTAGGCTGCAGCAGTTGCCTGCAGGGCAGCCAATGAGCACGCTAGACTGCCTGCTGTAGGTCTGCTAGCTGCTGCACTGCGTTGACAATGAATACAAAATTAGGATAATTTTTTGGCTTCAATATCTCGAGAAGATGAATCTTTCCCGTAGCGTAAGCTAAACTTACGCAATACGAGAGAACCTCTCGTAAGAGAACATTAAACAATATGTGTAAACAAAAAAATATGAACAACAAAAGCATTTAAGCTCAAGCAGCGCAAACGGGGAAAAAACGCAACAAAAAAAGAAAAAAAAAGAAAAGCAGACTGCGCAGTTATCGTACAGAACGTACATACTCGAGTCAGCATATGATTAACGTGTTTATATTGTTTCACGTTCATGTTGAGAAAAACAATAATATCCACATGCTCGATTGAGAAAACTCGCTGCGCTGACACAGACGTTGCAGAGACACGTGTGTGTGTGCAAAGTGAAGTAACAGCATGCGTTTTTCTGTTCTTAAACCTGTCTCCCTCAACGAAACTTAAAGGAAGCATATGTCTCAAAATCATTTTGCTACCAAAAGATATCATCTCGGATCACGATTCCCTCGGGGTACAGCTGCTGACCGGCAGTCGTTAATGCAGTGATGGACAGCTGCTTCCTCCTCAGTCGACTGGTGTTTCTTTGGATTTCATGTGATTTCTAATTGTGGTGGTGATATTATGATAACTCAGTTTAATTAATAATTGATTAAACGTAATTCCATTTTGTAATAGGCTATCATTTTCATCTAAGTAATTCCAAACTTCGCGAGGCAGACAACGACATTATGTGATCAAATACAATCCAAACGCTCCACCCAGTGCATTTAATTATAACTGCGAAAAACCATTCGAATAGTATTTTATTTTTTGAATAATAATTACAGATCGAAAATTCGAATATTCGTGCACATCCCTAATAGATAGATAGATCCCAAACTTGAAATGAAATGTTTGCACTTTCTGTGTTGTATTGTAGGCTACTTTATATGTGTTTTTCATGCCAATGTTAATAAAATGATCTAATGCATTCAGTGGCACTCATAATTTCTCTTATTTTCACCGGGAAAAATTTGGCTAGTGGAAATTCTAAATGGCTGGTAACTTTAGAAAGTTACCAGCCACATTGGCTGGTGATCAAAAAAGTTAATTTAGAACCCTGATTTTTATCATTATATGATGGTTGTGTACAGGCACTGCCAACACACATTTCAGAACAAGCAACTTGTAAAAGTGCAGTACCATTATATGACCCCTTTAAATCAAGTGAATTTTGCCTGTTATGCAGCATTTTTGAGATTTTGAAAAGTAAAGGTATGAGCACGTGTTGATACCTGAGCTGTTGCATGAGGTCTTCTCCCTCTTTGATGACGTTGAGTGTGGCCTCCAGTGTGGCCGTCTGCTGCTGCTGAAACTGTTTTATCAGCTCCTGAACCGAGTCAACCGAGTCCGAACAAACGTCCTCCAGCAGCTCCTTTTGCAGGTCCTCCATCCACGTCCATAACTGAAACACACACACACACAAACAAACGCACATTAATGCATGCACTTTCAGTGATAACTTCTCATGATGTTCCTACTCCATAACTTTACTGCACTATTACATTTTACTAAGTAACTTAATAATCAACATTTATTCCCCACAATGGAGCCAACACCTGACCCATATACAAGCACAGTAACACACTTACTCCAGTAAAGACCTAAAAAAGTTTCTAAACTTCTCTACAGACTCAGAGATGGAGTGACCTGTCTGCACAGATTATAACTCTCATCTAACAATAATCTGCCCTGAATCCAATATTAGAAAGCAGCCAGAAATGTGTGCTCTCGCTCTCATTTCTCATGCTGCTTCCATTTTTAACATTTCAGTGTAAAAGATTAAACAGTATAGAAATGATTCAGACAGTTCATTAAAACGTAGAACTTAATGATCCCCCAAACACTGGAGGGCCATGTGGCGTAGTGTTTAAAGGTTTATAGTGTTTTGAGCACCAAATGGACATTTAACATCAGGTTTCTCAAGAGGGACTGAACCTTAAGTTTATAATAATATGACATAAACATGTTTTTGAAAGAACTAGTCTCTTTAATAGTTTTAAAAATGTAATTTTAATTTTCTTTCAGGAATCTTTGATTAATACAAGTTAAAAAAGAACAGAATACATCCTATAATAATGTATAATATTAATATTTCACAATATTGCCGTTTTTATCGGATATTAATCAAATAAATGCAGCCTTTGTGAGCATAAGAGACTTCTTTCAAAAATGTTAAAACATTTATTATGTACAGTATACCCTTAATTATTCCAAACTTTTGACAGGTAGCGTACTGTAACATCTGGTTTGTGTTTTGTTTTGTGTTCATGTCTCTTATTACAGTATGTCATGCATTCCCACAGTCTTATCCCAATGTCCATACTATCCTACCTAAATATAATAACTAACCATCCTAAATATGAGATTACAGTAAGTGTGTCCCAAAACCATAGTATTTTGAAAAGAGTATGCCAAAATTCCCGGGATAGTCTACTATTTTCAATATTTTTTTGGAAGGCTGAATCTGAAATCGCATACTTCCCTATAGTAGTAAAAACAGTATTTGAAAAAAGAAGAACGTCCAAATTCACAGTACTCATAAAAGAATAGGCACAAAGTCCCCGGATGACCTAAATCTCTCTAAGTGAAATTCTGAAGTGTGCATATGATGGACACTTTACTATCCCATAAAGGCACGGGAGAGGATTTATGAATGGAGGAGAAGCAACACTATTGACACTAGTAGATCACATGATAACGACAACATGGCGGATGTAGTATGCCTGAATTACATTCACACTACACACTCTCATATTTTCAACTAATTCACTTGTGAGAAACAATTCATGGAGCCAATCTTGCTGATGGATTAACACGATCAGAGAATATCAGTCACACAGGCATGTTTGATAAACATAAATCCCTCTTTGTAAGACCTTACAGTGTTTCCACCTTTTGAACGATGATTTGCGGTGATTATTTGATAAGGATTTTCGAGAAAAAGAATCACAGAGCAATCTGTTTATCATAACTGATCATGACCAGAAACAAAAAAATGCTATAGGAATTCCCATGACTTTTTAAGAATTTATAATGAATCCCTGACATTTCCAGGTTTTCCATGACCGTGGGAACCCTAACTCTGCCAGATGCAAAAAGAGAGACTGTAATGATAAATAAGGCGTTTCCCAATCTACAGCGAGGAGGCTGGTGTGGTTTAACTCGAACATGTTGCAGGCGTAGAGGAGCTCTACAGGAGGATGTGATATTCATGATAGATGATGACCCCCTCAGCAGGGGTTTGAGACACACTCAGGATATTACTCATATTAATCACACACAAGAGCTCTGAACGGCAACGCATATGACAAGTTTTACAATACAGGAAATCGCCCACATTAGGGAAAAGCTAAACAGAACGGATGCATTAAAGCAAACCACACCGCAAAGACATACAGATATTCCTTACGGAAACAAACACGGCCTACTACTTTTTTCTTTACGTTTATTTCAAACATAGTCAACATGACATGGCTCTCTTAGGGTGTGTTCACACTTGTAGTTCGGTTCGCTTGTTTTGTTGCTTTGTATGGAACCCATCTCTTTATCGCTCTCGGTCCGCTTGTTTGGTGCACACCAGGGATCAGATGGCAGGGTTCACACTTACTCAAATGATCCGCACTAACAGAACAATCGCATCAGGGTTCGTTTTAATCCAACCAAACATGCCAAGTGTGAACATACCCTGAAACGAAACAAAACAGAACTGCAAACCTGACAGTTAGACAAATATTACGACAGTGATATTTAACCCGTCCGTAATATTGCTGCGGAAAGATATTTTGTTTCCATGTTTTGAGGTTATTCATGGTCTTTGTAGTAATTTGTTTGCAGATTAGCAAACAATTTGAAGTATTCCAGATTCGCATGTGTGCTATCAAGGTAAATGATACAACCGTTGAAGTATGAGTGAGTGTTCGAACTGTAGAATTGAGAATATTTTTCCTGTTGAGTTTGCTCTCTGTCTAAAGCATTTACAGTGGCTAGATTCTCCTCATTTTTAAGTTTGTGTGTGTGTTCAGCCTGAAATGAAGTGTTTCTGGAGTGCTGCAAAACCTGAGCTCATTCAAGGGCTTGTGTGGTGACCTCTGGATGCAGGAGCCTCTTTCAGTAGGACGCTCCAGAAACTCTCCAGGCCAGTGTGAAACATTGTAAAACTTTGGCCTGCAGGAAAAACTCCTTTTGCCAAGAACCGCTGATATAGTCTCAGCTCACATAATGTAGCTCTTTTCAGCCTCAACACACACACACACACACACACACACACACACACACACACACACACACACACACACATACACACACACACACGCACAATTGAATGTGCTGTGTATGAACACTACTGTTACACATTTAACCAAACACAAAATCCACACAGTTAACAGATTAAAGAGCTCTGAGTCTTGCATATGTATCGCTTACCAGAACTCCAGCTATTTAATTGATTACATGGTAATAACACATTATTGAAAATGCACACACATATGTTTATATATTTCTATTTACATACTACTCCATTTGAAATACAAATCAAAAAATAAGATGTCTTAAAGAGGCCATATTTTGCCCTTTTACAAAGTCTTGACTTTGTTTTGGGGTCTACTAGAATAGATTTTTGTGCCCGAAAGTAAAAAAAAAAAAGCGTATTTTCCCCATTATATTCCCCCTATATTCTCCATTGTTGCAGCTCCTCTCTTCCCAGTCTGTCAGTAACGCTGGACTGACTTTCTGCTTTGTAACTTTGCAGACCATTTTCATGCACAAACATCAACATTACACACTAAAGAAAGTTGAAAAAGTACAAAAACTAAAAACATAATAAGCATAATACAGTATATCTGCTGTAATAGTTATATTAAATATTTAAATTAAACATAAAATAGAACTCCATTAAATCTAGGAAATATTTCTTGAAAACCAAGTCAGCGTGCTAGAATGGCGATTGGAATTTCTGATATCAATTAACACTTGTATGCATTAAATTAAACGTAACAGGAAAGTTATTTCCATTGTTACAAAACATTGTACTGTTCATGAATGTTTCTATTCACCAAAGAATCCTAGAAAAGAAAAACTGTGTCATGGTTTCCACAAAAATATTAAGCAGCATGACTGATTATAATAATGTTTCTTCAGCACCAAATTAGCATATTAGAATGATTTATGAAGAGAATGTTGCTATCACTGGAAAAATTGCATTTTAAAATATATAAAAATGTGGGCTTTGCAATGATTAATTGCGATAAATCGCATCCAAAATAAAAGTTTGTGTTTACATAATATATGTGTGTGTACTGTGTATAATTATTTTGTATATATAAATACACACACATGTATATATTTAAGAAATATTTGCCTGTATATATATTTATATATAATTTATATTATATATTAATATAAATATGTTATATATAAATAACACAGTGTTCTTAAATATATACATGTGTGTGTATTTATACAAAACAATTATACACAGAAGGCTACACACACATATATTATGTAAACACAAACTTATATTTTGGATGTGATTAATTGCGATTAATCGCTGAAAAGTCCTAATGAAAATAGAAAACAGTTATTTGAAATTGTAATAATGTTTACCCAATATTACTATTAATATTTTTTTATATACTTTTTATCGAATAATAGTAAATAGCCTTGGTGAGCATTTCAACAAAACAAACATTAAGCATGTCGTTTTTGAAAAAATCCGAACAAATGTTCTTAGTCTCCATAGAGAGATAGAGAGAGAGAGAGAGAGAGAGAGAGAGAGAGAGAGAGAGAGAGAGAGAGAGAGAGAGAGAGAGAGAGAGAGAGAGAGAGAGAGAGCTGATCAGAACATCAGAGGCAATCGTGAGAAAACCACATTCCTACAATCCCCATACATCAACAAACCTATAGCTCATGGTAGAGCTCCACGAGACAAGCACAGCACCAAACAGCTCCAGAGAGATGGATTGTGCCACTTAACCCTCCAACATATTTACTCTCTTTGTCCTTCTCAAACGCAGGGTACATGAGGTGATGGATGTAGCGTTATGTCACATTACTGCGTAATAAATCACTAATGATCACTGCTATTGACTGCTGCAGCAATGGGCCTTAAACATGTAATGAGTTACGTAATGGCAAAAGCATTTAGCTTTTCACACAAGGGTCTGATTGACAGCTGGAGAGGTAAACAGCATGTTCTTCTGGCACATCTGGCACTGCTCAGCAAAAACCTCGCAGCATTCCTCTGCCGTGCACCTGGGATGTGTGTGAGTGAGTGGTCTTACCTCTTTAGTGTGCGTGTGGAAGGAGACGGACATGTCCAGCAGTAGTTTTCTTTGCTCCACTCTCCTCACGAAGTCCTGGATCCTGACCTCCAGGTGTCGCGCTGCCTTGTAGATCTCCTCAGGGTCACATTCGCCCGTCTGGGCCAACTGCTCAGCCGCTTCCAGGAGTTTATCTGCATTAGTGTAAGTGTTCTGAAAACACGGAAAAGCTCGATCAATCAATGTTCATCTGTAAAGCAGCTCTACAGAAGACAATAGCATCATTATTCTGCTCAAGTCAGTTCATTGTTGATTCAATTCTGTTCAATTACATTGTAAATGTTGCAAAGTTAGGGTCATCATCCTGGGGTGTGTTTCCCGAAAGCATTATTAGCCAACTAGTATCACAAGTTCCGTCGTTATCAGCATAGTTCAAGACAAACGCAAACAGCATCGCAAAGTTGTGTGGTTGGAACGACGATTCTGGACCTGTGGTTAGAAGTACAGTTTCTTGTTTGCATAATTTTATGAACTTCTGGCCAAAACCCACTGCCGGTTTTATCCGAATACAGACAATTTTCCGGATTGTAACAGCTCCGACCAACTAATTCATACACATATACAGTACATTATAAGTTTTGGGACGTCTGCCTTTACATGCACATGAACTTTGATGACATCACATTCTTAACCTGTAGGGTTTAATATGGAGTTGGCCCACCCTTTGCAGCTATAAACCCTCTTCTGGGAAAACTTTCCACAAGGTTTAGGAGTGTGTTTATGGGAACCTAGAACCGCATTTGTTGAGGTCAGGCACTGATGTTGGACGAGAAGGCCTGGCTCACAGTCTCCACTCTAATTCATCCCAAAGGTGTTCTATCAGGTTGAGGTCAGGACTCTGTGCAGGCCAGTCAAGTTCCTCCACACCAAACTCACTCATCCATGTCTTTATGGACCTTGCTTTGTGCACTGGTGCATAGTCATGTCACATATACCTGGGCCAAGCCCAACCCCTGAAAAACAACCCCACACCATAATCCCCCCTCCACCTAACTTTACACTTGGCACAATGCAGTCAGGCAAGTATCGTTCTCCTGGCAACCGCCAAACCCAGACTCATCCATCAGATTTTCAGACAGAGAAGCATGATTTGTTAATCCAGAGAACACGTTCTAGAGTCCAGTGGCGGCGTGCTTTACATCGGATGCTTTGCACTTGGTGATGTAAGGCTTGAATGCAGCCGCTCGGCCATGGAAACCCATTCCACAAAGCTCTCTAAGCATTGTTCTTGAGCTAATCTGAAGGCCACATGAAGTTTGGAGGTCTGTAGCTATTGACTCTGCAGAAAGTTGGTGACTTCTGCGCACTGCGTACAGCATGCGCTGAACCCGCTCTGTGATTTTACGTGGCCTGTTGTTCCCAATTGCTTCCACTTTGTTATTATACCACTAACATTTGACCGTGGAATATTTAGTAGTGAGGAAATTTCAGGAATGGACTTAATGTACAGGTGGCAACCTATCATGGCACAACGCTTGAATTCACTGAGCTCCTGAGAGCAACCCATTCTTTAACAAATGTTATAGAAGCAGTCTGCATGCCTAGGTGCTTGATTTTATAAAATGTGGCATGGAAGTGATTGGAATACCTGAATTCAATATTTGGAGGGGTATCCCAATACTTTTGCCAATATAGTGTACACTCACCTAAAGGATTATTAGGAACACCATACTAATACTGTGTTTGACCCCCTTTTGCCTTCAGAACTGCCTTAATTTTACGTGGCATTGATTCAACAAGGTGCTGAAAGCATTCTTTAGAAATGTTGGCCCATATTGATAGGATAGCATCTTGCAGTTGATGGAGATTTGTAGGATGCACATCCAGGGCACGAAGCTCCCGTTCCACCACATCCCAAAGATGCTCTATTGGGTTGAGATCTGGTGACTGTGGGGGCCATTTTAGTACAGTGAACTCATTGTCATGTTCAAGAAACCAATTTGAAATGATTCGAGCTTTGTGACATGGTGCATTATCCTGCTGGAAGTAGCCATCAGAGGATGGGTACATGGTGGCCATAAAAGGATTGACATGGTCAGAAACAATGCTCAGGTAGGCTGTGGCATTAAAACGAGGCCCAATTAGCACTAAGGGGCCTAAAGTGTGCAAAGAAAACATCCCCCACACCATTACACCACCACCAACAGCCTGCACAGTGGTAACAAGGCATGATGGATCCATGTTCTCATTCTGTTTACGCCAAATTCTGACTCTACCATCTGAATGTCTCAACAGAAATCGAGACTCATCAGACCAGGCAACATTTTTCCAGTCTTCAACTGTCCAATTTTGGTGAGCTCTTGCAAATTGTAGCCTCTTTTTCCTATTTGTAGTGGAGATGAGTGGTCCCCAGTGGGGTCTTCTGCTGTTGTAGCCCATCCGCCTCAAGGTTGTGCGTGTTGTGGCTTCACAAATGCTTTGCTGCATACCTCGGTTGTAACGAGTGGTTATTTCAGTCAAAGTTGTTCTTCTATCAGCTTGAATCAGTCGGCCCATTCTCCTCTGACCTCTAGCATCAACAAGGCATTTCCGCCCACAGGACTGCCGCATACTGGATGTTTTTCCTTTTTCACACCATTCTTTGTAAACCCTAGAAATGTTTGTGCGTGAAAATCCCAGTAACTGAGCAGATTGTGAAATACTCAGACCGGCCCGTCTGGCACCAACAACCATGCCACGCTCAAAATTGCTTAAATCACCTTTCTTTCCCATTCTGACATTCAGTTTGGAGTTCAGGAGATTGTCTTGACCAGGACCACACCCCTAAATGCACTGAAGCAACTGCCATGTGATTGGTTGATTAGATAATTGCATCAATGATAAATTGAACAGGTGTTCCTAATAATCCTTTAGGTGAGTGTATATTATGTCCTGTTTAAAGCCTTCTGGCATAAAAAATAAGGAAATTAAATAGACAATATCTGCACAAATAGAACACACTGCACAAGCTACCTCAAAAGACAATCAACTAAATGATTGATTAATTACTCTTATGGTGACAAAACATTTTCCTCACATGTAAAATTGCATATCCATCTGTAAAACGAATGCAGCCGGTTATCCCAGACTGGCACACATCACCCCGTTACACCCAGCACGAACCCCATCAGAAGCAGCGGTTATCACGGATTATCACCTTGTGGCCCTAACATAGCCAACAACAGAGGAATAGTGGCCCACTGGCTGCTGAGACAAGAGCATTTTCACCCCAGTCCACACTGTTCCTCACTGTCAGGCATAAGGTAAGATGCTTTAACGAGAGGTCGGCTAATTAACATGAGATAATTACATGTGTGTTCACCTGCTGTGACTGGAGAACAAGAACACATTTACAGCTCCAGAGGGCTTCAATCCTTCATTAAACACACAGTTAGGACATTACAAAGCCCTGAGACAGGAAGCAATGGTGAACACCAAACACACAGCAGTCCAGCTGTCACATTATGTACGTTTTTACAAGAGAGTAACAATGAGCTATAAAGGGAAGAATCTTTAGTTGACTATTTTCATCTTTTCCATCTATAAGCTGCTCAGCCATTTGTCTTAGCAATCTAGGAGACATTATTAATAAACAGACCAGGGCCTATTTTCTTATCACCAGGAGTTCTTACATAAAAGCACTTTAGAAAATCAGAAGCTGAGAAAACTTACAGTGACAGTAATCTAATTTCTGTCAGGGGTCGATACCTTTAATATGACATTTTAGGTAAAAAGTTTGCATACTGCATATTTGGAGAAATATTGATGAATTCTCATTTGTTCAATTCAAATTGCTACAGTAGGCTATATAGAGGAGTAATATCCGATTTTTACCCAAAATGATGCGGTGTGAGCATTATGGAGCACTAAACACTCTCATGTAATGTCTCTTTCATTCATACTGGAAGCCAGAGGGCGCCCTCGTGCAGAAAGTCCACAAGTAAGACTCATAAAGTCATAAAACGTATGGCTAGTATTCTAAAACGTATTCTAGGATATCTCTTATATGGACAAAGGCATCCTGATTCCCGACTAATCCAAAGACTACTTTAAAAAAAAAAAAAAAAAAAAAATATATATATATATATATATATATATATATATATATTTTTTTTTTTTTTTTTTAAGAAGGGCAAATTTCCAGATTTTTCATTTTCTATAATGACATCTTACAATGAAGTCGAATGAATATTTAGATACACTATACATTAGACATAGATACATAGATACAAAAATATACATTTTCAAAAATAAGTCTCTTGTGATCAGTAAGGCTGCATTTATTTGATCACAAATAGTAATAATAAGTAACACAGTGATAATTTGAAATATTATTACAATTTATAACTATTTTGATATATTATAGATACTAAATTAACATTTTAGACTGGAAGACTGGAGAAATTATTCTGAAATTTCAGCTTTGCATCACAGAAATATCTTACACTAAATATTTTCAAAAAGAAAACAGTTATTTTAAATTATAATAATATTTCACATTATTACTGTTTTTAGTGTATATTTTCAATCAAATAACCTCTCCTGGTGCTGAAGGCGTGTTGGTTGAATCCGTGACAGTACTCCCAATCTAACAGATGTTTTGTTAAGTTACAAATAAAAATGTTAACATGCACTTTGAGATCAGGATCTGAGCTATTCCCGGTTAATATTACGGTATAATCCTGTATCAGTATGATCTTCTTTCTGTGACTTCTTTGATTGATGAAATGAATCTTTACTTTTCCTGTTCTGCTTTTTTTCTTCGATTTCTGTACATAAAGTAATCCATAAACGTGTCTAACGTTATTACAGTAGAACGCATGAGAACTAGCTGACTGTTTTCACCACACTGAGTGATATATTGCTGCTTTAAAATTCATTAAGGATTTGTTTAGGGTTATCAGCACTAAAAATATATCCGGCGTTCCTGATTTGATCTACACACACACATACATACATAAGACAAATGACACATGAATCCATCACTTCATTAAAATGTGGCCTGAACGTGTCTAGAGGTGTTTGTGTCTCATCTCTTCGTCTTCATCAGTCTGTTCTCGGATCAGCAGATGTCAGAATAACAAAAGCTGCATATGTCTCACTGGATACCAATAATGGCTGAGCCAAAACAAATCCCGTACGCTTATTTAGACGGAGTCAGATTGTCTCGGGCC